TGGTTAACAATAGTTAACGGTGGGGTGGTAACCCGGGTGAAGAGCCGTCATCTTACTGCGATGTGGGGAGGTCAGCTCTTGGCTGGAACAGCATGGTGGCTGGAGGGGAACAGCGGTCAGGCCGGTCGGCGTGCACGTCCTCCCTCAGAGCCGGATGGAACGCACGCTGGAACGTAGTGGCGGCGTGGCCGTGAAAAAGCAAGCTTGAAAAAGGAGTGCACTTCCGCCTTCCACGGCCACTGCATGCTCCAGTGCACCCTGGGATCTGACGTCATCACGGCCATGCCGCCGCTACATTCCAGCGTGCGTTCCATCCGGCTCTGAGGGAGGATGTGCACTGCTGTTCCCCCCCAGCCACCACGCTGTTCCAGCTGAGAGCTGACCTCCCCACATCGCAGTAAGATGACGACTCTTCACCCGGGTTACCACCCCACCATTAACTATTGTTAACCACGGTTTTTAAGCTTATGATTACTTCACACATGTGAGTGTTTCTACATTTAGACTTGAATAAAAAGACTTATTGCACTTAGAGGCGCTTCTCTCCTTTTTCTCAGATCTGGTAGTAGCTGGGCATGCTTCCCATGATGTGCATTGACAGTGTTTTCATATCATGTTTGGCTTCCTCAGCCTATGAAAATGTCTGGTCCAGGAGGGGGCGCAATTGTGTCTCTGGAGCCGAGCACCTTGGACACTTGTAGAAGTGTTGGGAGAGATTCAAAATACAAGTTGTTTTTTTGAAGCAGTGGGCAAAGAATTTACAAATGACAGAGGCCTTACTTATAATTATGTGCATACTTTTGATGATTATCTATGAGCATGGGGTGGTGGCACGGTTTTTGAATTCCTGTGAAAGGGCTGCCCCCGCACTACAAAGGTTAACTGCCAAGTTAGGTGTGGAGGGTTGCTAAAAAAAAAAACGTTTTAATTACCCTATCCTCTGCTCCCACAGGAAGACTGGTCCCCACAGCATCTTCTCCTCCACTGTCTGGTGGTCATGGGTCCTCTGACAACATCAGGGCCAATGCAGTGGCCATAGCCCTGCAATGGATGTGGGAAAACTGAGACACAGTCCACTGTTACAGTAGAGGGGAGTAGTGGAGAGCACCTGCTGCTGTGGGAGTGGAGGATCAGGTAAGTAAAACTGCTTTTTGTGCCCTCTAGATCTAAACAAGCTTTTAACCCTTGCAGGGTGAGGAGTGCTAAGTTTTGTGGAAGTATTTTTTTTTTTTTTTTTTTGTTTTGTTTTTCAATCTTGTGAGATGCGCTACCAAATAAAAAAATAAAAACACCTTTTACCAGCCAATCCTTCCCCCATGTAAAGAGAAATGTTCTTTACCTTAGACCCTGGTTTCCTCCTGTAGTGCCTGGTGAAGTAGCGTATTCTGGCAAGATTTGGGATCCCCACATTTCCCAGGATTCTGCTGGACGGCCGAGCAACGTGACCGGTGCCAAGGTGAGTGGACCAGACGCAGGGATCTTAAGTAAGTAACTTTATTTTATGTTATTTTTTAACCTACTGCTTCTAGTCTAATAATTAGGATTTTCCTGATGCAAGGTCCATTTAAGCTTATCGGGTCCTAAAAACTTCCTGAACGAACAGCACTGTTTTGTCTGCAGGTATCTGTGATGGTCAATAGAATAAATCCCATGTCACTGATTGTTCTCTGGACAAAAGCTAAAGCGGCATTAAACCCAAAAATGTATTCTATTGTAACTTTCCAGTCATCAGATGTGGTGGATCCATTTTGTTTTCTTTCTTTTTTTTTTTTTTTTTTTTTTCCCCCTCTGTTTTCACCTGGTGATTTGGCCAGTAACACACTTCCTGTATTAGTGAGGAATGAGCACAGGCGAGACAGCAGCATTGTCAGTCTGGGGAGGGGGGCGGGAGGGGGGGGGTAGTGTTAAATGTACTAGCAGATTTAAATACACTAACACATTGAAACCAAACGCCAGCACACACTTTATAAGCAGTTACGGCAAACTGTTTTTTGGGGATGAAGGCTTTGCATGAATAAATAGAAGCTGGTCATTTTGATCACCCTGACAGTGTTAAATGGTTTGTCTCATCCATGTGAACTGATGCATTCTGCTGGAAAACTTAAAGCTTGTACTTATAAAAAACAGATGTACTGGCTGGATCACCAGATAAAAATAGAAGAAAGCTTAAAAAAGGAAACTAATCTAAGAATTAGTAAGCTTCAATATAATAAATGTTTGCTTTTGAGTGTAATACTGCTTTAAAGTGGAAATCCAGCCTAACACTAACTATTCTTGAAATTGATAAGAGGAAAAAAAAAAAAGGGACAGAACATTTTGAAGCATAGTTAGTGGGTTAGTGTTGGGCTGGATTTCCACTTTAACCACTTGTCTTCCAGAGGATTTACTACTGTTCCTGACCAAGCCATTTTTTGCGATACGGCACTGTTACTTTAACTGACAATTGCGTGGTCATGCAACACTATACCCAAATTAAATTTTACGTTTTTTTTTTTTTTCCCCCACAAATAGAGCTTTTTTTTTGGTGGTAATTGATCACCTGTGCGTGTGTTTTTTTTTTTTTTTTTTTTTTTTTTTTTTTTTTTTTTTTTTTTTTTTTATAAACAAAAAAAAGACTGACAATTTTGAGAAACAAAACAATATTTTTTTGTATTAAACATGTCCAGTAAAAAACTTTTAAAAAATCAAATTTCTTCATAAATTTAGGCCAAAATGTATTCTGCTACATGTTTACCAATGGCGGTATAGATACTGGAAATGTTTTTTTTTTGTACTAGTAATGGAGCAATCAACGACTTATCGGGACTACGGCGGGCATTCTGACACTGGGGTGGGAACTGACGTGGTGTCATTGACATGCCCAGGGACACCAATACAGTGAGTGCTAATAAAAAGCACTGACACTGTACTAATGGCACTGGGCAGGAAGGGGTTAACATCTGGGTTACCTGTGTGCTGTTTCACTGTTAGCTGTGTGTGTGTGCTTCACTGTAAGCACACTGCTTTGTATGACTCACTGTGCAGAACTACTATTACAAGGCTGCACATATTCGTGTGTGTGTGTGTGTGTGTATGTGTATATATATGTGTATGTATGTGTGTGTGTGTGTGTATATATGTATGTGTATATGTGTATGTGTATGTGTGTGTGTGTGTGTGTGTATATATATATATATATATATATATATATAGTGAAGGAAATAAGTATTTAATCCCCTGTTGACTTTGAATGTTTGCCCACTCACAAAGAAATTATAATTCTAAAACGTCAATGGTAGGTGTATTGTAACACTGAGAGACAGAATAGCAACAAAAATTCAAAAGAAATGCATATCTAACAAATGATGCACTGATTTGCATGTTCATGAGGGAAATAAGTATTTGATCCCCTTTACAAAACATGACTTAGTACTTGGTGGCAAATCCCTTGTTGGCAATCCCAGAGGTCAGACGTTTCCTGTAGTTGGCCACCAGGTTTGCTCACATCTCAGGAGGGATTTTGGCCCACTCCTCTTGGCAGATCCTCTCTAAGTCATTAAAGTTTGGTGGCTGACGTTTGGCAATTCAAATTTTCAGCTCTCTCCACAGATTTTCAGTCGGTTTAAGGTCTGGAGACTGGCTAGGCCACTCCAGGACCTTAATGTGCTTCTTCTTGAGCCACTTCTTTGTTGCCTTAGACGTGTGTTTTGGGTCTTTGTCATGCTGGAACGGCCATCCATGACCCATTTTCAATGCCCTGGCTGAGGAAAGAAGGTTCTCACCCAAGATTTGATGGTACATTGCCCCGTCCATCGTCTCTTTGATGCGGTGCAGCTGTCCTGTCCCCTTAGCACAGCGGTTCTCAACCTGGGGGTCGCGACCCCTTTGGGGGTCGAACGACCATTTCCCAGGGGTCGCCTAAGACCATCGGAAAACATATTTCCGATGGTCTTAGGAACCGAGACACCGCTGCTCTGTCTCGCGATCTGTGGGCGGGATGATATGCTGCCCCTGTAACCTGGCCACACCTCCGGGATCACTCAACAGCTCCGCCTCCTCGCCGCTGATTGGCCACCGGAACTGTAGCTCAGGAGAGGCACACAGGCGGCCAATCACCGGCGAGGAGGTGGAGCTTGGAGAGGAGGAGCCGAGCGGCAGAGCGCGCAGATCGAAGAAGATCGAGGGAGCTGCAGGAACGAGTGAAGAAGAGAGAGGTCAGAGAAGGAAGACAGCTGACAGGTAAGTGCAAATTTTGCTTCTGCAGGCTGTAGATGGGAGAGGGAGAGAGCGAGCCCAGGCTGGAGCAGGGGTCAGCAAGGTAAGTATCATTGGTGTCAGTGGGAGGAATAGTGCCCCATCATTTGTGTCACTAATACCAACGATGGGGCACTATTCCTCCCCCCACTGACACCAACGATGGGGCACTATTCCTCCCCCCACTGACACCAACGATGGGGCACTATTCCTCCCCCCACTGACACCAACGATGGGGCACTATTCCTCCCCCCACTGACACCAACGATGGGGCACTATTCCTCCCCCCACTGACACCAACGATGGGGCACTATTCCTCCCCCCACTGACACCAACGATGGGGCACTATTCCTCCCCCCACTGACACCAACGATGGGGCACTATTCCTCCCCCCACTGACACCAACGATGGGGCACTATTCCTCCCCCCACCACCAACGATGGGGCACTATTCCTCCCCCCACTGACACCAACGATGGGGCACTATTCCTCCCCCCCTGACACCAACGATGGGGCACTATTCCTCCCCCCACTGAACAACGATGGGGCACTATTCCTCCCCCCACTGACACCAACGATGGGGCACTATTCCTCCCCCCACTGACCCCAACGATGGGGACACCAACGATGGGGCACTATTCCTCCCCCCACTGACACCAACGATGGGGCACTATTCCTCCCCCCACTGACACCAACGATGGGGCACTATTCCTCCCCCCACTGACACCAACGATGGGGCTCCCCCCACTGACACCAACGATGGGGCACTATTCTCTCCCCCCACTGACACCAACGATGGGGCACTATTCCTCCCCCCACTGACACCAACGATGGGGCACTATTCCTCCCCCCACTGACACCAACGATGGGGCACTATTCCTCCCCCCACTGACACCAACGATGGGGCACTATTCCTCCCACCCCAACCACTGACACTGACACCAACGATGGGGCACTATTCCTCCCCCCACTGACACCAACGATGGGGCACTATTCCTCCCCCCACTGACACCAACGATGGGGCACTATTCCTCCCCCCACTGACACCAACGATGGGGCACTATTCCTCCCCCCACTGACACCAACGACGATGGGGCACTATTCCTCCCCCCACTGACACCAACGATGGGGCACTATTCCTCCCACTGCAAAATTACAGTTCTGAAGTAGCAACGAAAATAATTTTATGGTTGGGGGTCACCACAACATGAGGAACTGTATTAAGGGGTCGCGGCGTTAGAAAGGTTGAGAACCACTGCCTTAGCAGATAAACACCCCCAAAGCAGAATGTTTCCACCACCATGTTTGACAGTTGGGATGGTGTTATTGGGGTCATAGGCCGCATTCCTCCTCCAAACACGGTGAGTTGAGTTGATGCCAAAGAAACATGTGCTTTCTTGAGCAGAGGGACCTTGTGGGCATTGCAGGATTTCAATCCTTGTTAACGTAGTGTGTTACCAATTGTTTTCTTGGTGATTGTGGTCCCAGCTGCCTGGAGATCATTGACGAGATCCTCACGTGTAGTTCTGGGATGATTCCTCACTGTTCTCATGATCATTGACACTCCACAAGGTGAGATCTTGCATGGTGCACCAGACCTAGGGAAACTGACAGTTGTTTTGTGTTTCTTCTATTTGCTAATGATTGCACCAACTGTTGTCACCTTCTCACCAAGCTGCTTGGCGATAGTTTTGTAGCCCAGTCCAGACTTGTGTAGGTCTACAATCTTGTCCCTGACATCCTTGGACAGCTCTTTGGTCTTTGCCATGGTGGAGAGTTTGGAATCTGATTATTTAATTGCTCCTGTGGACAGGTGTCTTTTATACAGGTAACAAAATGAGATTAGCAGTGCTCCCTGTAAGAGACTGCTTCTAATCTCATCTTGTTACCTGTATGAAGACACCTGGTAGCCAGAAATCCTGCTGAATGATAGGGGATCAAATACTTATTTCCCTCATGAACATGCAAATCAGTGCATTATTTGTTAGACATGCATTTCTTTTGAATTTTTTGTTGCTATTCTGTCTCTGTGTTACAATACACCTACCATTTGATTTTTAGACTGATCATTTCTTTGTGAGTGGGAAAACATTCAAAATCAGCAGGGGATCAAATACTTTTTTCCGTGTGTGTGTTTGTGCGTATGTGTGTGTGTGTATGTATGTATGTGTGTGTGTGTGTATATATATATATATATATATATATATATATATATATATATATATATATATATATATATATATATATATAATGTATGTGATGTATTGTATTTTGTATTTCTGGGTAGGGGGTGCACACCATTTGCACCTTCAGCTGTTGATCACCAGGTCCTGGCCGGAGATTCACGTTGGCAGGAACACTGACGGGAGAGGTCTCTTACTCTGCATATCAAAGCAATTACACAGTAACACAGAACATAAAGTGAAACACGAACAGCAGACAGTTAACCCTTTGATCGCCCCAGATGTTAACTCCTTCCTGCCCAGTGTCATTAATAGTGTCCGTGCTTTGTATTAGCACTGATCACTGTAATGGTGTCACTGGGGATGTCAGTGACAGCCAGTTCCCACCCAGTGTCAGAATGCCTGCCGCAGTCCCGCTATAAGTTGCTGATCGCCGCCATTACTGGGGGGGAAATTCCTGTGTGTGTGTGTGTACTGACATTTGTAGACACTATAACTTTCACGTAAACCAAATAATTTATTTGTATTGGGACTTTTTTTTAGCAAAGACATGAAGCAAAATACATTTTGGCCAACATTTATGACAACATTTTTAGATTTTTTTTTTTTTTTTATTGGACATGTTTTTATTAGCAAAAAAAATATATATATAATATATATATATATTTTTTTTATATTTTTTTTTATTTTAATTTATAGCGCAAAAAATAAACACAGAGGTGATCAGATACAGTTGCAAGAAAAAGTATGTGAACCCTTTTGGGAATACGTGGAGTTTTGCATGAATTGGGCATAAAATGTGCTCTGAACGTCATCTAAGTCACAACAATAGAAGAACACAGTCTGCTGAACATAATACTACACAAACATTAGATGTTGCCATGGTTTAATTGCACATAACATGTAAACATTCACAGTGCAGGGAGGAAAAAGTATGTGAGGTCCTAACTTAATGACTTCTCCCAGAGCTAATTGGAGCCAGGAGTGAGCCAACCTTGACTCCAATCAGTGTGATGATATTGGATGTGTTGCTGACAGCTGTCCTGCCCTTAAAAAACACACACCTGTTTTGGGTTTACTGGTTCCAAGAAGCACTGTCTGATGTGAACCATGCCTCGCAGAAAAGAGCTCTCAGAAGACCTACGATCAAGAATTGTTGACTTGCATCAAGCTGGAAAGGGTTACAAAAGTATCTCCAAAAGCCTTGATGTTCATGTGTCCACGGTAAGACAGACTGTCTACAAATGGAGAAAGTTTAGCACTGTTGCTACTCTCCCTAGGAGTGGTCGTCCTGTAAAAATGACTGCAAGAGCACAGCGCAGAATGCTGCATGAGGTAAAGAAGAATCCCAGAGTGTCAGCTAAAGACCTACAGAAATCTCTGGCACATGCTAACATTTTTGTTGACACATCTACAATAAGGAAAACATTAAACAAGAATGGAGTACATGGGAGGACACCACAGAGGAAGCCATTGCTGTCCAAAAAGAATATTGCAGCACCTTTGAAGTTTGCAAAAGAGCACCTGGATGTTCCACAGCACTACTGGCAAAAATATACTGTGGACAGATGAAACCAAGATTGAGTTGTTTGGGAAGAACACACAACAATATGTGTGGAGAAAAAAAGGCACAGCACACCAACGTCAAAACCTCATCCCCACTGTAAAACATGGCGGAGGGAGCATCATGGTTTGGGGCTGCTTTGCTGCCTCAGGGCCTGGAGGGATTGTTGTCATTGATGGGAAAATGAATTCCAGAGTTTATCAAGACATTTTTCAGGAAAACGTACGACCATCTGTCCGCCAACTGAAGCTCCGCAGAGGATGGGTGATGCAACAGGACAATGACCCAAAGCATACAAGCAATTCAACAAAACAATGGCTGCAACAGCACAGAATACGCCTTCTGGAGTGGCCCAGTCAGAGTCGAGTCCTGACCTCAACCCGATTGAAATGCTGTGGCATGACCTTAAGAGAGCGATTCACACCAGACATCCCAAGAATATTGCTACACTGAAACAGTTTTGTGAAGAGGAGTGGTCCAAAATTACTCCAGATCGTTGTGCAGGTCTGACCTGCAACTACAGGAAACGTTTGGTTGAGGTTATTGCTGCCAAAGGAGGGTCAACCAGTTATTGGGTCCAAAGGTTCACGTACTTTTTCCTCCCTGCACTGTGAATGTTTACATGTTATGTGCAATTAAACTATGGCAACATCTAATGTTTGTGTAGTATTATGTTCAGCAGGCTGTGTTCTTCTATTGTGACTTAGATGACGTTCAGAGCACATTTTATGCCCAATTCATGCAAAACTCCATGTAATCCCAAGGGGTTCACATACTTTTTCTTGCAACTGTACCACCAAAAGAAAGCTTCACTTGTAGGGGAAAAAAAAAGGACATTTCGTTTGGGTGCAGCGTTGCATGACCGTGCAATTGTCAAAGTAACGCAGCACCGTATCGCAAAAAATGGCCTGGTCAGGAAGGGGGGTAAATGCTCTGGACAGCAAGTGGTTAAACTCTTCTTCCCAAATCATCCTGCAGGGTAATGGATCAGTCACAGTTTTCTCTATGAGCAAAGCTATCCTGCCCTGGGGACCAGACTTTTTCTCTGCTTTTTATCTTCCCCTCACCAGCCCATGAGTTCTTCTACCTATGAGAGAGGATTCGGCTGCTAGAAGTGTTGCCTCCTCCAATAGGAGGTGTGCAAAATGAAGCCGGCAGTGATGTGGACACCCAAAGAAAGGACCCCAGGAAGTAAACAGAAGAGAGAGCGATCACCATGTGACTGTGGCTTCAGTTAAAGCGGAGCTAAAGGTGTTTTTAAAATAGACTTACAAGCAGGCAGAGTATAATAAAACACCCCTACCTGCCTGCCCACAGTCTTCTGGGGCATGTAAATCGCTGGCACGGTCCTTGTGTGCGGGATGAAGAACACCTGCACATGTGGAGATGTTACATCATCCTGCATGGGTGAATGAGGATGCCTAAAGACTGAGCCCTGGGAAAAGATGCTCACACCAGTGATGGCCCCCTCGTAGACTTCAGATCCTTGCAGTAAAGAGCTATAGTGAGTGTAGTTCCACATTAAAGTGTAACTAAAGGGAAAACATTATTTTCTAGTTTGGGACAGAGTGAAGATGGATTAGAACATGTCAGGTTTTATTGCCATCTGTACCCTTGTTAGGAGTTTTTTCTCCGGCTCTGTTTGTCATGTTAACTATTGTCATCAAAACTGAAACCAAAAGAATATCCCACATTTTGGGTTGTCCCCAGAACAGTAATAAAGGGTAAATTTCCCAAGGGGACACTGGCTCTGGTGGCTGTGATGAGAAGCAGGAATTCTCTTACTTTGGAGGGATTTCCTCTTACTTCCTGTTTTGGTTATTGGAAAGGAAGTGAAGAGACATCTCTACAGTTGGACAAATGGGGAAAATTAAAAACCTAACGGGTGTAATAAACTATGGATGTACCGATATATGGGGGGCCGAAAATAGTTATGGGCATGTGGTTTTTTTTTTTTTTTTTTTTTTGCAATTTTTGCCGCATTTTTCAATGCGTTTCTGGCCTGGTTTACACCAATGCAGTTTGTGTTTTGTCTCTTTTGCAGTGCTTCTTGCAGTGCATTTTGCGTTTTTTGCATGTGTGTTTTTGATGCTGGGGTTTTTTTGTTTTGTTTTTTGCTTTTTCTTAATGTGTGTTTGTTTTTTTTTGTTTTTTTTTTTCTTTGGGCCAACTTGTTGCTGGGCAGGTTTAAAAAAAAAAAAAACAAAAAAAATCAAACGTGCGAAGAACTCACTATATGCATTTTATGCAGCGTCTCCATTGAAGTCTATTGAACCAAAAATGCAACATTTTGCATTTTAAATAGTCCCTTATTCTTTCCAAAATGCAGAAGCTCAAAAAAGCATAGATGTGTATGTATCCTATAGGAAACCATGTTAAATGGACTGTAGTGTTTCTGCAAAAAGCACTAAAAAAATGCATTGTTGTGAACCAGGCCTCAATGGGGAGGTGCATTTTTTTTTTTGTTTTTCCTCTGACCAAATATGCCCCAAAAATGCAGCGAGCAGGATTTTTAATATTCCAAGGGAAGCGCAACGGATCATTGTGAAGACAATCATTGAATTTTAAGGGATGCATTTTTCTTAAGCATTTCTTGTACTTTTGTTTAACGCAAAAGCACTTTAAAATCTGCTCAGTGTGAAAGCAGCGATATTAGCCGAAAAGGTGCTGAAAAAAAAATTTATTCATTTAAATTCCTAGTATTAATTTAAAACGTCGCGTATAATACAATTCTATATTTAAAAAAAAAAAAAAAAATATATATATATATATATATATATATATATATATATAATAAAATATATATATATATATATATATATATATATATATATATATATATATATATATATTTTTTTTTTTTTTTTTTTTAAACTGTCCATTTTTGGTTGTCAGCCAAATGTATTCTGAATTTTAGGTTTCAGTCCAGAATTTCCATTTCGTGCACCACTAATTATAACCCTCTTATTCTATAAAACATTACGAAGGAATGTTTTGCCATTGGTTCTACTTGGAGTAGGATGGGCGTTTTGAATAGTTTTTTTTTTTTTTTTTTTTTTTTCCATACTAGCAGTTAATTAGATGGGGGTAGGAGGGGGTTGCTGATATCCTCAATTTGGGCTTTAATACCAATGCTGTAGAAACTGTGGTTGTGGCTTTGGGAGGGGGGGTTTACACACACTCCCAGTGGCAGCAGTTGTCTGTAGGCTGTCAGATGGAAGCAATCCACACACCCCTGTTACTGCTGGTTTCCCCCTCCATGCACGCACCCGCCAGCCATGTTTCCTGGGCTCCTTGTGCTCATTGGCAGACTCGGGACCAATATGGCAGCTGCCACCTGATAGAGGGGTGGGAGAACAGCAAGTTTCAATGGTAACTGTAGACGTGAAAAGTAGAGAGGGTGAATCTCCTGAATGGGGGCACAGACAATGAAAACCTGACAGGTGTTCTAATCCATCTCCTCTCTTTCCGAAACTGAAAAAAAAAAGTTTTGCCTTGAGTAATACTTTAAAGCGCTTTGCTCGTACCTAGATCCTTTACAAACCACTAAATGTATGAACACCATTCCATATGGTTCTACTGTAGAGGTGAGTGAAGTAGACTGATATGCCATTTTTAGGTACTTTTGCTAGCTAAAATACATTTTTTAAATTTCTAAATGTATACAGTACATAACTTTATATACATATGAAAAACCCCTTTTTTTTTTTTTTTTTTCTGTACAGCTACTTTTTTGTAGTGTCCCTTTTGAATACAGAGAGTGTGTTTTTGCTTCTTGTTCTATATTTTATGAATTACGTAATGACCCATTTAAATGTATAATCATTACCTTCTAATGTCTGTGTTGTAGAGAGTGGACCACTACTTTGGGATTTACTTTTTATTAACAATATACAGTAATATGTTATACATCAGCATTAGATAATATACATTTAAAAAAAATCATAAAATTACATTTATATCTGTTTGTCACTATTACCTAGCTTGTCAGAAGTTTGTAGGAAATGGTTTGCAGAGCTCTGCACGTCCTCAACGAAGAGGACCTTCTATTCAAAAGACTCGTAGATTTTTGTCTTTTTATAGGCTGGTTTTGTGAGTATTGCTGTAGCCTGGTGAATTGAAACCAGTCCACAATCCAGTTCATGCTATCCCCAGGGTGAAGGCCACAAGAGACTCCACCACACAGAGTGCAAACATAAGAGAAGGGTGGATGCACCCTGTTGATATCAAAAGCTTTATTGGAAGTTGGTGACGAACAAAGGAGACACCACAGTCTTGCCCATAGACTGCTGTCTTTTGATGCGTTTCCCTCCTCCCATGGGGGTTGGTCAGCCTTGGCTGTAGCCCACTGGAAAATGTTGAAAATGTAGTGTATATGTAGTCAAGAAAGTAAAAGTGAGGTTTTGGCTTTCTTAGGTGAATATATATATATATATATATATTAGTGTGTGTGTGCACAATTATTGGACAACTCTTAGGCCCCTTTCAGACAGGACGGACCTGTCAGTGGATCCGACTGCTCAGCGAGGAATCTCTGTGATCCCCACTGAGCAGGCGGATGGCAGGTTCTGCAGCAGTGGAGCGGGCACAGAAACAGCTCGCTGACTTCTATGGGGCGGTTGGATTGAAACTGACCCCCTTGTTCATTTCCATCTGACTGTCAATTGATCTACCGGATGGATGGGGAATGGATCCCCATGCGTCTGTGTTTGGCGCACAGGATCAGAATTAGATGCCAGCAGGTTTCAGTGGACACTTGTCTGCTGACACCTGCCGGTCCATAGACATCTATAGATGGGCCGAACGGGTCCGCCTCAATAACTGACAGGTGGACATGATCGGACAGTCAATGTGAAAGGAGCTTTAGTGTGCAGAATTATTATCCAACTAAATGAAAAACCTAAATTTTCCCATCTCACTTGTTTATTTTCATCTGTTAAAGTGACAATAATAAACAAACAACTCAAATTTACAAATAAACATTTCAGACATTAAAAAAAAAAAAAAAAAAAAAAAACTAAATCAGTGACCAAAATAGCCACCCTTCTTTTCCTTAACAGTCATAAGTCTTCCATTCACGGAGTCTGTCAGTTTCTTGATCTGTTGACGATCAACTTTTTGTGCAATAACAACCACAGCCTCCCAGACAGTTCAGAGAGGTGTACTATTTTCCTTCACCATAAATCTCCCACTTAAGAAGGGCCCACATATTCTCAATAGGGTTTAGGTCAGGTGAGGAAGGGGGACATGTTATTCTTTCATCTTTAAGGCCTTTACTGGCTAGCCATGCAGTGGAGTACTTCGATGCATGCGATTGAGAATTGTCCTGCATAAATATCATGGTCTTCTTGAAAGATGCAGACTTTTCCTGTGTCACTGCTAGAAGAAAACGTCTTCTAAAAACTGTGGCAGTAGGTTTGGGAGTTTATTTTCAGTACCACAACCCCAAATCCACCTTGCTGATGTCTGAGTCATAGTGGAGCTCTGTGCCCATTCCTGATCCAGCCACAGGCCTGTCCATCAATGGTTACTCTCATCAGTTCATAAAACCTTTTGAAAAATCTGTCTTAAGATATTTCTGGGCCCAACCTTGACGTTTCAACTTATGTGTCTTGTTCAGTGGTGGTCGGGCTTCAGCCTTCTTTACCTTGGCCATATCTCTGAGCAATAAATACATTGTACTTCTGGGCACTCCACGTAGGTTGCTTCACATTTGATTCTTCTCAAATCTTTGGCAGTTAATTTGCGTCCTTTTTCTATTTCTCAACACGTTTCTTGCAACCCTGTTGACTCTTTGCAACAAAACGTTTGATGGTTCTGTGATCACACCTCAATATCTTAGCAATTTCAAGAGTGCTGCATCCCTCTGAAAGAATTTTTGACTTTTCACAGCCAGTTAAATCTCTTATTTGGCCCATTTTGCCTGAGGAAAAGAAGCTGCCTAATAATTATGCGCACTTTGATATAGCGTGTCGACCTCCTTAGTCCACACCCTCACTCATTACACAAATATCACCTGATCTGTTTAAATCCAATAAGCATTCAAGTTTACACAGCTTGGAGAACATGCATTAAAATGATGATTTGGTCAAAATACTCACTTGCCTAATAATTGTGCACATTGTGTGTATATGAGCTATAAAAACTTGATAGGGTCTAACCCTTCCATACTCTACCCAAAATTTAGAAATGTTTTTTTTTTTACTCAGATTTTACTGAGCAATGGGAGTACAGCTGTTTCTACACTCCCAGAGCTCTCATAGGAGAGATGCTGTCTTCTCATACTGTTCATTCACAGAAGCCTTTGTATTTTGTGAATGAGTTTACTTAATGCAGAGTGCTCTGTGATTGGGCAGGAGGAAGGCAGTGGCTGGGAAAGCAGCTGCATTTGACTCTGCAGCTGCAGGAGCTGAGACCAGAAGGTTCAGCATCCGAAATAGTGATAGCTATATTCTCAGCACTGACTAAAAAATGTCAGTTGTAAATTTAAGAGGCATGCACCTTGGTGGACTTTGCCACAAATAATCCAACAAATTTTACAAAGTGGCAGACTTTTTGAAGTTCAGTGTTATAAACTTTTCATTGTTGCTTCATTTATGATCAGAAATGTAAAAAACATCTTTGGTCTGTCTAGGTCTGAAGAGAAGTACCACTGCACTGCAGGTAGACATGCCTAGTCCAAGAACAACAAGAGCAGCCAACACTACCAGCTCTACTTCTAATGGAAGGTTTGAGTTCATGTCTCTACTGACTAATAGGACGAGTACTGCAGACATACCTGCAAGTAGACCTCGAACATCAGACAGTCCAGTTCACTGGAAAGACTCTAGTTCATCTCAGCAGCAGCAGCAGCTTCCAGAGGAGGATTGCATGAAGTTAAACCCGTCATTTCTTGGAATTGCACTAAGATCATTGTTGGCAGTTGACCTCTGGCTATCTAAGAAAATGGGTGTATGTGCCAGGGAAGGATCTTCATGGGGTAGTGCACGTCCTCTGATGAAGCTAGTGGAGATCTCTGGTCATGGAATACCCTGGATTTGTTGCACAATCTATTGCCTGTACAAAAGTGATAGTTCAGCTGGCAGAGAGGTGATACTTAACCTGCTTTTTGGTAAGTGAAATTTAAGTAACAGATTTACAAAATTATTGTACTAAAATGTCATTGTATTAAACCATATTCTTGAAGATTGTTTTTTTTCTGTTCTATGCTGATACATTATGTTTAATTAATGGAAAAGTTTAGACATGTTGGTAATTGTAAATCTTCAACCGTGTGTGCTTTGCTTTCAGTGTATGGCAGTACACCCCCATGTCCTGCTTTTAAGGTAGGATAGAATGAGTTCAGCTACTAAGGTTTGTTGTTTGTTTCTGTTTGTGTTTTTTGTTGTTTGTTTTTTTTAACAAGATTTTTTGCAAAACGGCCATTAAAGGTGAAACAACGCTAATAAAGGATTTAATGCTGCCTAGTTTTTGCTAATCTTCTGTTTCATAAAAAGAGCATAATGCACTTCTAACAAATATTCTGCCATGCTATGAGTAAGGGAGCTCAGACCTTTGAAAAAATTTAACTCAACACTGGATTAACATCAGGATTATAGTTTAGATATTATTAATAATAATTATTTATTTTAAACTACCCATTTGTACTAGCAAACCTCAGTCCCAGATATGGTTAAAAAAAATGTGCATTCTTGCTTTAAAGTGACACTAAACTCTGGTTTTAAAAAATTCTGTTCAATAATGTATTCTTAATTCCAAAAAGCTCCCATGATCTGACTTCCTGTTAGAGGGTGGCTACTTTTGCTCTGCATTGTACCACTGTTGGTATGAGTGTAGCCACCTTCTCTTGCTTTTTTCCTAATTGGACTATGGGATTTGTAGTGTGCATAGAGCAGTGGATATGACTAACGCTCATTGCTTGTTCCAAAGAAAATAAGAGGGGAAAAGGTTCAGGAGCTTACAAAGGCTGTTAGGAGCCAGTAAAAAAACAGAATTTAATGAAAAATCATTTACAGGGCCATTAAAAGAGAAGTATGGGTTTGATTTTTTTTTTTCCCCCCAAAGTATACTTGCCTAGGTGGATGCTGCATCGATCCAATATTCTGTCCCGCAAAGGCTCTAAATGTGAGAACTCAGCAATCACATGACCGCTGATTGCTGAGTTCTCTCTGCCGTTCTGAGCAGACATCGTTGACTGTCAGTCACCGCTCTCTGCTCTGACCCAACCCCTCACACTCACTGGAGAGGTGGGCTATGGAGGGGGTGGCTGGCTGAGGCTCTCAGCAGATTGTTGAAAAGCTGAGCCAGGTGCAACTCAAACAGGGGTGGATCCTGACTTTAAAGACGGCTGAGTGACGTCAGCTGACAGTGGGCTTCAGATAGACATCCCACCATTTAGCCCACATAAGGAGACTATTTAATATTAAGAGTGCTTTTACAAAATACATGTACACAATTTAGAAAAGGGTGGCCCTGGATCCAAAATTGTATTCAGCTAGAATGTTTCAAAGTTTAAGAAGTGAATCAAATTGTTTACAGAGAAGGCTGCTCTCAGAACCACAGGAGCCTGTGGTGCGCTTGAAATACCTTTTTGGGTGCAAACATGAGAAGAAGAGCATGGAACACCAAGAAAATGCAGTGTGTTATCAGGTATGGAATAAATTGGTTTTATTAAAGCGGTAGTAAACTGCTGGGAAAAAAAGTCCCTTGTAAGGTAATGTCATAATGTGCTAGTATGCATTGCATACTAACACATAATGTGAAACCTACCTTAAAATTAAGCCCTCCAGCGGCATGCGGTCACCACTGCAGAGGCTTCAATCTTTACCCGGTCTTCCTTCCAGGTTCGTTAGCTCCGGCTGTCTGATAGGCCGGGCTGCAATGACGTCACTCCTGCTCATGTACACGGGAGTCCCGCCGGGCCACGGCACAGAGCTCTGAAGGAACAGCATGGGTATGCCGTTTCTTCAGAGTGCATGCTCCGGCTTTAGAAAAGAGAGAATATCTCCTAAACGGTGCACATTTAGGAGATATTTTACCTGCAGGTAATCATTATTATAAGCTTACTTGTAGGTAAAATGTAAAAAAAAAGAGTTTACTGCCACTATAAGATCTAAAGTTCCAGTGTGTTTTGAGTGCCTTAAACACCCTTTCTTCAGGGCTTGTAGGAAAGACCATGTAGCCTAGTACTGCTGTCTGTAGGACAATCACCGCCTGTAGTTGTGTATGTACCCGACCGAGCACAACTGGCAGATTTTAGATGCAGTAGTCCGGTAAATAAAATGGTGGTAAAGGCTGAAGGTTTTTTACCTTCATGCATTCTATGCAAGGATGGAAAAAACCTGTGTGCGGCAGTACTCCCAGGCCCCCTAATCCACCCCTACATGGTGGTGTTAGCTGTGTGTCAGTGCTGCTCATGTACTAGACCAACTGTCATTACATTTACAGCACTATTTATATATTCATGACGTCTGGTTTTTAACTAATTTTTGGTTTTAGGTCATACTCTTTTGTATTGTCTCATCTTGTGGTGATGGCTAACTGAAGTATTTACCTAAATGTCTATACACCCTGTTCCAAAATATTATGCAAATTATATTTTTCTCATTTACCTAAATAATTGATGTAAATAACAGTCAGCATAATTCTCATGTTATCAACTATTAAGAGTACAATTCAAATTTTATTGAACAAACCTCCTAATGATAACAGGATTTTTTTTAAACATAAAACACTTACAATGCACTGTTCCAAATTATTACACACAGTAAGTTTCAAAACCCTTTATAGGTTGTAAAGAACTGAAAATTGTCATTTGTTGTGTTTGCAGCATATTTACTGAAATCAAAAGCTATTTCAGTCAAACTTTGACAACATTTTAACTTTTTAAACATTTTAACAGGTCACGTTACATTTTAACATAGGACCCCTTATTTGATAGCAGCTTCACAAGTCTTGCATCCATTGAACTTGTGCGTTTTTGGACAGTTTCTGCTTGAATTTGTTTGCAAGCTGTCAGAATAGCCTACCAGAGCTGCTGTAAACTGCCTCCCACCCTCATAGATCTTTTGCTTGAGGATGCGCAAAAAGTTCTCAATAGGATTGAGGTCAGGGGAGGATGGAGGCCACACCATGACTTTCTCTCCTTTTTATCCCCATAGCAGCCATTGATGCAGAGGTATTCTTTGCAGCATGAAATGGTGCATTTTCATGCATGAAGATGATTTTATTACGGAAAGCATAGTTATTCCTTCTGTACCAGGGAAGAAAGTGGTCAGTCATAAACTCCACATACTTTGCAGAGGTCATCTTTACACCTTCGGGGACCCTAAAGGGGCCGACCAGCTCTGTTCCCATGATTCCGGCCCAAAACATGACTCCACCACCGCCTTGCTGACGTTGCACCCTTGTTGGAACAGGGTGGCCGTCCACCAACCATCCACTACTCCATCCATCTGGACCATCCAGGGTTGCACGGCACTCATCAGTGAACAGGACTGTTTGAAAATTAGTCTTCATGTATTTTTCTGCCCAATGCAGCCATTTCTGCTTGTGAGCATTGGTTAGTGGTGGCCGAATAGAAGGTTTATGCACAGTTGCAAGAGTCTGGAGGACTATACACCTTGATGTCTGTGGGACTCCAGAGGCACCAGCAGCTTCAAATATCTGTTTGCTGCTATGTAATGGTATTTTAGCATCTGCTCTCTTGATCCGATGCATGGATCTGGCAGAAATCTTCCTCAATGTGCCTTTATCTGGACGAACCCGTCTGTGCTCTGAATCAGCCACAAATCTCTTAATAGTGCGATGATCACGCTTAAGTTTTCGTGAAATATCTAATGTTTTCATACCTCGTCCAAGGCATTGAACTATTTCACTCTTTTCGGCAGCAGAGAGATCCTTTTTCTTCCCCATATTGCTTGAAAATGGTGCTCTGCTTAATAATGTGGAACACCCTCCTTTAGTAGTTTTTCCTTACATTGGGCTCACCGGCCAATCTAATTATCACAGGTGTCCGAGATTGTTTTCAGTGATCAAAAGAGCCCTGACACACAATGCCATCCATGAGTTAAACTGAAAAACAAAATATTTAATCTTTGTGACACTTAAATAGAATTTGCATAATAATTTGGAACAAGGTGTACATGCATTGTTTGCAATAAAGCATAATTTTTCGAGAAATTCCTGGGTATCGCTTTCTGTTCATGATGTAACCGCTTTTCTTGTGAATCCCTTTTCACACCCCCCCCCCTTCTTTTGATGTCTGGTTTTTGGTTACTTGGCAGATAATATACGTTCGGCGATATGTTCCATTTGTGGTCTCTTGCTTTTTTGTTACTGCCCCTAACACGTACCTGAGCCCCATTGCGATCTAGCGATGTGCACAAGAATCTCTGGTCTCTGTCTCCTCAATGTCTTAGACAGCAGCGTTCTGAACCTTTTTAGTATCACTTTAATGTTTTTTGGTGCAGTCCTATCAGCAGTCCTAAACTGCATTCCAAGTCCTTAAGAAGAAGGTTTTTTAAGGCTTCTCAAACACATTAGTACTTTACAACAACAAAAAAAAAAAGTTTGTGGTCTGTTGCATAGGGATGTTTATGTATAGGATCTTGCTGGCAGAAAGATCCTGAGTAAAATGTTCTATAAAGACCTTGCATATACACACAAATAGGCACATAAACATGCATATGTGTATACATGTGCAAAATTCTTCTTCTGCATCCTCTTCTAGTTGCCAGTGTTGCAATATACGCGTGTATGTGCATAAATTGCTCTACCCAAGTTTTCTATTTTTATTTTACAGCTCTGTACTCATTGCTGTATTACTGCTCTTTATGCAGCTGTGTGCACTGTTCCATACACCACAATGCACCTGTGTTCAGATCAGTAATAAAAGTGGCTTTTTCCCTGTTTCCGTGATGATTCAATGAAATGGTACAATAATATATAGTAATAGAGGGGACTATTGTGTGCCCTTGTGGAGGTTACAAATATTAAGCGGCTACCTACTGACAAATGACAGCTGAGCAGGAGCTTTCTGGTTCTGGGAGGATGTCGCGTGGGAGACAGCGGATGACAGATGTACC